AACCCTTCAAGCTAAGACGCCCTCTCAGAAAACCCTTCAAAAGGAAACCCTCTCAGGAAAACCCTTCAAACTAGAACCCTTCTCCTCCCCTATCTGGGCAGTGATGCCACTGAGCAAAAGAAAGCTCAGGAAGCACACAGTCTGGAGGCGCAACTTCATGTAATTAGGATGACGCACCTCCTCCCGGCGATGGCTAGCGCCCCACACCCGCGCGGGAATGAGCCCTTGGCAAAGGTGATGTACGTCATCGGTCGATGATCCGGGTGGACAGGCTGTGCTCTCGAGACCCAGGCCAACACACCGTCCGGGCCTCCGAATGCAAGTACGCAGGCGAATCCTCTCGAAATCTGGGGGAGCTTCATCCATTCCGAACATCGTGCGGCCTCCGCCGCCGAAGACCCGTGTTGGCCAAATCGAAGGCCTGTTCGTTGGTCAACCAGGGGAGCTCGCCGTCACCAGCCGTGCCAAAGTCTTGATGACAGTCAACGAGGAGTCGTTTTCACGGCCATTTCACGCAATTTCACGGATTTTCACGCCCTTGAAACACGTTCATACGCATGTCTAGGTCTGAATCTTTCCCTCGATGAAGTCACGTTCCAGCTTTTGTTCATTCACCACATAGTCGCCAGTGCGGCGTTCCTTTTGGATGCTGAGAATCAGATCAGCAGGAAGCGAAAGCCCAAAGCGCGGACCGACGTTCTCAAGCGTGCCACTGCAGAGGACAAGGCTCGCGATCTACAAGCAGGGACATCGCTCTGAACGCTCCAATCACGCTTGGCGCCACAACTGAAAAATAAATAAAAACGAAATGCTCCCAAGACAACGCTGACCGCGCTGGTGGACCGTGGCAAAGACCCATCCAAGGTCGCTTCTTCCAGCTATCTCCACACGAAGGAGGAGCTGGGGAAGCTCGTCAGGCCGAACAAAATCGAGATCAGCGCCGAAGAAAGGAGCTGGCGCAAAGAGGATGGCAAGGTGGTCAGCCGCCATTTGCCCGGCAGACCCTTCAACCCTGACGGCGGCCACCGCCAGCGCCGCTGAGAGCAGGAGGCTGCCTGCGCCGCTGTAGTTCGTGATCGGCATGGAAAGAAACTTCGTCATCTGCCCGAGGAAAACGGACTACGATCTCCTGAGGCTGGGGGCGACTGCACGTGCGAGGACGCAAGGGTGCGGCGCAGGCCGAAATCTACGGGCGCCGATTCATTTGGCCTTGCGTTTACTCATCAGGCCACATTCGTGTCCTTGCGGATACTGGCGCTGCGCCTACTTCAGGGACGACGGGGCCATAATCTACGCGCGCCTGAGCCCGTTCCGTTCCGTGCCACGCACGCCTCCTCAGCACGTTCAAGAAAAACGAGATCGGGCGAGAGATGTCTGACTTCCAACTTCGCAATCATCAGGCGAGGTATGTGCTGTCCCACACAGGTGCTTTACACCCATCCTGGTCGGCACACGCGTCTGCCCTCGCTGCACCCTCCCCGTCTGTTTACAAGCCCGCCGCGCGCGGAAGCCACGAAGCGCGGGTGTGGGAGATGTCGAGATACAACCGTCGCATGGCCCGCGGAGCCCGTGCGCGTGTGGAACGCCAACGAGATTGCAACACGCCGGCCGGCTTCTCCAGGAGATGAAAAAGCAGTTCAGGAGAGAGTTGGAGGCTCCTTTTTGAGGGAGAAATTTGACGCCAAAATGGAGCGGTGGGTTGCCACCATCATTGAACCTCGGGGCATCAATTTCCAAGGTCGGACTGTATCCGACTTCTTTGAAAAGTACCCCGCTTACGCAGCTGCACGGGACGAATGCTCACCACCAATGCCCGCAACCTCACCAAGGGCGATGTAATGTTGGACCCTCTTTACCCCCCTGCTAGGAGTGGAACCAATCAGCTGCTCAGATTCCCAGCACTTGCCTTAGTATTGCAAATTCTACTCTAGTCTTGCCAAGGCTGACCCTCAGATTCCCAGCACGAACTTTAGCATTGCCAATTCTACTTTAGTATTGCCAAGGCTGACCCTCACATTCCCAGCACTTACTTTAGTATTGGCTGACCCTCAGACTTTCAGTACTTCATTTAGACTTGCAAGTGGTTGAGCTGAGCCGAGCCATTCTCTTGCTCTTGCTTCTGCTTAGCTCCAGCCTGTACTTCACCTTTCCTCTGGCTGAGTGGCTTAACTGCATTTGTAAATCTTAATTCGCTTAGCTTCTGTTGTAGATTTCAGTCGCCCCGCCAGAGCAGGCCAGCGTTGCGCATGCCCTGGAAGTCAGCACGAGGAGAAACTTCACGTGACGGCGGTCTCTTCTGCAGTTGTGTTAGAAGCGAGCAGTCAGTTCACAACTTGGCCCAAACGCAAAGCGCAACGGAACCGTGACCAATAATGTCCACCTCTGATTATACCCCCCTGCCAAAAAAAACAACTGAGGTCCCTCAAGCAAAGCTGGAAAAGTATACCAACACTAAACTAAGTATTGGGAAAACTAGTCTAGAATTGCAGTTTGGGGAAAATCTTTTCAATTGACTTTAGCATTGCAACTGCAAATTTGGAGTTGGAGGATCTTTCAATTGTTTTAGTATTGCTGGGGCCAACCTTTGGAGCTTTCAAGCTTCCAGCTCGAGATTGGGATTGCCGGCCTCAGCTTCTTGATGCAACTTGCAGATTTTAATTTGTTCAGAATGTCACATGGCTTGCTTTCCTGCTAGCTGCAGTTGTGATGCAGAGACTCTTGGCTAGCAGGGTCTATAGTCAAGTTTAATAGTTTTGGGTTGTTGTTGTAGTTGCTGGGAGGGGTGCTTGGGGAGAGCGGTTTCCGCGGCACGGAGCTCAAGGCGAAGCTTGCCGCGATCGGTTGCAGGACATAGCTGCAGCCACTGAGGTGGTGGGCTAGTTTTTGGGTTGGGGTGTCCAGTTGCAAGGTCTCAGAGTTGCTTGCCAAGGTTGCAGTTGTGAGTGTGCTGGGCTTTGTCAGTTGGCAGATGGTGCGGACCAGTGAGATGGCCAGCACCATCTTGACATATGCATGGATAGCTGCAGAGAAGCTGAAGTTCCTGAAGTTCCTAGAGATACAATCCTAACCTTAGATTAGCAAGTTCGTCACAATGTTTTCAATTGTGACAAGTTTAGGCCTAAGTAGTTGGCCGTCTGTCATTGCCCCTGAGAAGGGAGCAGATCGAGATGCAGCTTCAGTTGCAAATCAGTTATATGAGTGGGAAGATTGCTAGTAGTTTAGCTTGGGAAGGTGTAGCTGAGAATAATTCCAAGAGTGAGCCAGCTTGGGCACCAGCTGGGGAGCTGCAAATGGCTTCAAGAGCTCAGTTCTCATGTGGAGGGCAACAGCTGCAGGTGGAGATCCCAACTTTTGCAAAGTTCGAGCCGCAGTTGCAGATCTGCAAGCTGGCATGTTTGAGGTCAGGTTCTTGAAGGAGCTCTGTGCAGAGAAGGAGGAGCCAGACGAGGACAAGCGCCAGCTGCGCAGCTTGGGGAACAAACGCAGTTCGGCCAGAGTTGATGGAGCTCCAGTTCTGGCCTGTTCCCAGCGTAGTTTCGGCTGGGTTAGTTTAGGTTTGTGTTTAGTTGCGATAGTTCTAGTGATGGTTTTGATTGACACAGTAGTTGCTTGGCCAGTTGGTAAGACGTGTCATCCCAAGAAGTTTCAGATGAAGAGCTCGCGCGGAAGATTGCCCCGTGGAGCACTGCAGGTCAGCAGTTGGCAGGGGCCAAGATGAAGATGGAGGTGCTCAAGTGCCTTGTTGCGAGCTGTAAGTTTTTGAGGGGGGCTGTTGGTTTTAAGGCTTGGCAATTTGGGAGGTTGTTAGCTCTAGCGGCTGCCGCTGGCCCTGCGCAATCTGAGGTTCTTGGGGGAGCGGTTCAAGATGAATTGGGATGAGATGTTCAAACCTCTCAGTTCCAGCTAGGGCTGGCAAGCTTCAGCTAGATGAAGAGATGAAGCAGCTGGAAGAGGCGCAGTAAGCTTGCACACGCTCTACGCAGAGAGCTGCGCAAATTTGAGCTCAGACTTTGCAGCTAGTAGCTGCCCGGCTGGGCTCAGATTGTTTTACTTCAAGTTTCATCCGCAACCTAGTTAGGTGGTGTTGTGAGTTGACAGGTTTGAGATTCAAAGCTGGGGCAGCTTAGCGCTCTCCTCAGCTTACAAAAGCCAGCCTGGAGAGTTGCAAGCTTGCTAATCGAAAAGCTTTGGATTGGGTTGGAGCTTTTTTGGATTGGCAGATGAAACCAGGAAACTTTATTTAGGGGGGGCCCTAACCACGGCCCGCGACCAGCCACAGATATTTGCTGCGCGGCGAACCTGTTGTTTAGAACTTGAAGACTTAAACGAATCAGACCCCATGAGCAATGTACACAAAGACCAGGGGGTGGAACCCGATCAAATAACCCAGTGAAGCTGGGGCAAGCCAGGTCGAAGGTTGTGGAAGGTGAAGTAGATATCTTCGGGGCAGGGTTGGGAAACAGGTTGCAAAAGATGAGAATCAAGCCACGAGAGAAACACGTCGTAAAACCACTGGATAGAATAGCTTTGCAGAACACCCCCGCCCACCCAACGCGCTATGCCGTTTTGCCGCTCTACTCTTGTCGGGAGTGAGTCACTTGAGCCAGTGATGCGATATGCAAACATTGTCAAAGATTCAATGATCTACACCGAAACACAGGATAGACAAGACAGCGCGCTGCTTTGGTTGACCTTGCTTTGCTCGTTGTTGCTTGCTTGCTTCCAACCCTACCCCCATGTCACCATCGTCATCACCAGCATCGCCACCGCCATCATCACCAACATCATGCTTGCAAGGAGGCAACGTTAGAAAGACAAAAGCTAAACCGCCCATAGTAGTAGGAACCGTCCTTCTTCTTGGAAAACTGCCCATTCATAAACAAAAAACAGCTTGACTACTCCAAGTGGTTACACACAACTGTTGGGGTCAGCAACACAGCGTTCAACAGATAAAGAAAGGCCTCGACAAGACTGCCGGAATGGTTCCCTCACACCCTCGCCTGCGAGGTCTGACTCGCCTTTGGAGGCCTGCCGGCTCTCTGTCCTGGCACGCAAAAGGAACGCGCCCAAAGGTTCACATGTTTCACGCCAAGCGCCTTCAAGATCTCTGCTGACAGATCAGGTCTTGCACCCCGGGCTGCTTCTTGCCAACTTGCACAACCAGTGACACACCCGCGCGCGCACCCGCACACCTTACAACTTGTCTTTTAGCTGCGGTGCCTGGGACTGGGACCTTCGCTTGCGCATTCCAGCAACGCACGTTGCGCAAGCTTTGCTGGGTTTCCATCTCCATTTGCAATTTTGTGGCAGAAACTACAGCAGACAGCACACACGCGCGGCGTGATCTAGAGTTCTACCGCGTAGCTAAAATATTATTGGTATGCAGCTTATGTGTGGACCCTGCAAAGCAAGACTGCGGGCAACATGTCCCAACTGCCCCTTGAGAGCGCCAAAGCTCCCCGCTATAGCCCTTGGTGGTGCTTCACAGGGCGGCGGCACAAAACTGCTCGGCGACGCAGAGCTCTGACGCCACATTCCCAGCAGCCACATTGCTCCTTGACGACGCATTGCTGGCTGAAGGCGCATTCCGCCGCCACAGTCCCTGCCGCCACTTTCCACCTTGACGCCGCAGCACACATTCTCTGGCACCACGGGCGCCGCATTCCTGGCTGACGCGTTCTGGCTTTCGCACCACATTCACCCCTGACGCCGCGTGTCCTGCTTTGGGCGCGCTCCGGCGCCACATTCAACTAACGCGCTTCCAAACCAGCCACCCAAAGTGGAACACCGGCCCGCTCAAACCACACACCCAAAATAAACGGAAACATGCCCCCAACCACCAACGAAAACAATGATAAAGCTAGAACTACCAGTTAAAACCAACCTTTTTTTTGCAAACCCAGGCTTCGTTCATTATGACTGTGGCAGCCTCAACGCGTATTTTATTGCACCAGGTGCTCAACTTCTGGCGCCAGGATGCCATTGTTTGGATATGAGTGTGTATGGCTATGCAACGGGGGCGCTCACTAGCCTGTAACGAGAGAATAATGCTTGACACCTCCGCAGCTCCAGCTTGAAAGTCGCAACTATTGATTCACCCGGCTGCAATGTTTCTTCTGCTGACGGTAAGCTCTTTGCAAGCTCGTTACATCCTTCTTGTCATTGTCTTCCTACAAAAAGAAACGGTAGAAAGAGAAACCTGGCTATCTTTGTCAGTCTCTTGTTGTAAACGTCATGTTGCCTGGCACTTCTAGCTTCGAATGCAGAAAGGATAGGTGGCGTTAAGCCTCTAAGATTTTACAATTTCACTCGCCCGCCATCTGCTCACCGCCGTTTGCTATGCCCAGGTGCCACAGCCCCGCAAAACCATGCAATGAAGCACAATCAAATAAGATCATGACAAAAATGCGCCAAGCATTCCTCAGCAGGCAAAAAAGTAAAAGAAAGGTGTTGCGAAGAAGTGAGAAGGAAAACAAGAGCCATGGAAATGGCACCCTGCTTAACTTCTTCACGCGTGAAACTACGAGACTCGACTGTCTTCGCCCCTCCTGGCCTTGGGCATCTCTGGGGAGGGAATACCATCAATTCCTTATGCGTGTAACTGCGAAATTAGTGCTTTCTGCGCCCCGGCTGGCCTTGGGCACCTCTAGCCTGGAATGCAAATGAATGGAAAGCAACGGCAAGAAATGAAAGGGAAACGGCAAGAAGCGGGAAGGACGGAAAGATAATGGAAAGGAAACCCGGCGCTAGTAGTTTCTTCACGCGTGAAATTGCGAAACTAGACCTTTTCGGCTCCGCGTGGCATTTCTAGCTAGAGACGGCAAGGAACGTCACCTGCAGTGGGAGAGGCGCCCTTCGTTGCAGAGTTAGACTAGCTCCACGCCAGCAGAGAAAGCAAGAGAACTTGGTGCGTATACCCCTACGTGTAATATGTGTACATGGGGGGCCATCACGACCCGTGACAGACAGGAACACAAAATCAAGCGCGAGAGGGACCGTCACACGCAGCATGCGCAGCACCACGCACGGCGTCGCGCGCAACGTCACGCGCAGCATCATTTGCAACATCATGCCTGCGCAGCAGCGTGCGCAACATCACGCAGTGCATGCGCGCAGTGCTGGGCGGGCGCGCGCGAGCGGGCGTGGCTTTTTTTGGTGGGAGGCGTGGATGCAGTGCTGGGCGGGTGTGTGTGAGCAGCCCCACCTCCGCCCCCGTGGCACGTATAGAAATGGAAAGGAATTGGAATAAGATCAAAGGTTTTGCAAAGAAATGGAAAGAAGTGGAATTGAATTGACGTTGAAATCAATGGAAAGAACTCGGAACAGATGGAGACGACATGTGCAAACTTCGTAATAATGGAATGGACAGGATGTAGGAAATACTAGAAACGGGAATGAAACGGACATGGAAAAGGAATGGCAAGGAAGCGAAAAGGACATTTAAACATATTCTTGCAAGTGCTTGAAAGAATATGTTCAAACTTTAAACAATTGAAATATCAATCAGAGATTGACCTTTGAACATCAGTGTGGGGGCTGTCGAGTAATCTTCATTGAAATCACGCCGCCCCCCCAACTTATCACTTTTCTTTACCTTTCTCCAAACACCTTGCGCGAATCATCTTCTTAGACTGCCGGCCCCCCTCTCTCACCCCCCCTGGCTCCGTTCATGTCTTATGGGCTTGTCTAGAGATAACCGCAGATGCACCTCCGGGAGACGCGCGCCCTGTGCTGTGTTCATTGAAAATCATGTCGGGGCTGCCAAACCATAGGGGCTGCCGAGTTCATGAGGGGCGCCCAACCCCAAGACCCCTTGCTTTTGGCTTTCTTTCCACACCCTGCGCCGAATCATCTTCTTGGGACATCATGGGAAGGCTGCCGCACAGCCAACCCCCCGCTCGTTTTTTATGGATGTCTAGTGTAAGGGCTGCCGAATAATAATTCTTGACCGCTATCTTCTTGGCTGAGAATCGTGCGGGGTCTTTGAACATCAAAGGGGGTGCCCAACCCCAACCGGCGCAATTGTTTTTGGATTTCTAGAAAAACCCTGCGCAAAATCATCTTCTTGGAGAATCATGTAGCGGCTGCCGAATAATCTTCTTTGAACGTGGGGGCTGCCACCCTGCCCCGAGTCATCTGATTCTTGGAACCTCAAGAATTGGCCTTTCACTTAGGCCCTGCGTGAGTCGGGTGATTCTCTACTAATAGGTTAAGAAGGTTAACAAAAATAGCAAGAGTTTAACAACAGAGTAGCAAGGTTTATGTTATGTTAACATAGTTATGTAATAGTTAGCTAATTATATTAGGGGCTTGCCTAAGTATGTCTAAAACTTAGGTAACCTTAGGATAGTAAGCTGTATTTAACATAACCAGTGATATCCTTGTCAGTATCAACTTTTGTTACTGCGCATTTGGAGCTTTTTTGATTCATGCATTGCAGCTGCTAGCTGTTTGTCACCAAAACCAAAAAGTGTCCAATCGTTAGCACACACTGCTGACACGGCTTTTGCTTGTTGTTTCTGCAGCACAATAGCACACAGCGCTTTTGGTCAACGTCGGCTGAAAAACATAATATAATCTGCCGCCCGTGGCCCAAGCCAGCAATAACAAAGCAACCAGCACGTGCAAAAGCCATGGAACCAGCAAGAAGACAGGCACACAGGGTTCACCTTTCCACTGTTGCAGTTGCTTGCTTCTGCAGCCATGGATAAGCAAGTGGCCAACTTGGTGGCCGAGTACAAAGATGACCCGCAGCTCCCAATAAACACCAAGTGGCTGAGAATCCAAGAAGCTTTGGACAAAGGAGGGCACCTCTACCAAGTGATTGTGGCACCAGAAGCCTTGTTTGTGCACCCCCCCAACAGCGCCACGTTGTCATGGCATGACTGCCGTGAGAAAGGTTCCAGGATCTTGCAGAATGGCCCAGCCATGGATAAAATCCAGCAATCTGTTGCTGTGGAAATGTCTGCAGACCAAGACAAGAGATCCAAGCAGTTGGCTGCCAACCAAGCTGCGCCAGGCCAGCGCTGGCCATGTGGCACCCGTAGCAGTCTTGGCCAATTGCCGTACTGACCATGAAGAGTTGGGCCAGAAGGGGAATGGCCACTTGTCCATGGAAAGATGCCAGTCACTACCAGTACCTTCTACCACCCACCTTTCCAGATCTGCCACGCTTGACCAACAAGCTTTGAACAGCGACCACAATGTGGCCATGCCAGCCACAGGGATGGAAGTCGTGCGACAAGTGGCAGAGCTGCACCAGCAGTCCAAGAATTTGCAAGCTGCCTCGGCCCAGGCTGCTGCCACCAAGCCCATGCCATACATGCATGCAGTTAGGCAATTTGTCCAAGAATTCGGTGGCTGCATCGACTTCTCTACCATCAAGCTGCTGTCGCATGTGAGTCCCTTGCTTGTGTTAGCATGGACACATTAGCACCCAGCGCTTCTTCTTGGCAGGCTGTTGGCCAAGAGTGACATTGACAAGCCCAAGGCCTAGAACCAAATGGTCAACCTGCGCCAAGCAGAAAAGGCCATGGCCATCAACTGGAACTTGATTTGCCAGGCGCAGCTGGAAGACCACATGCTTGATCAGAATCATGCTCCATCTGACCAAAAAAAGATGAAAGGGAGAGAAGGCCTGGAGTTTGAAGACTTGTTCAAGATTTCGGAAGCCTTCTCTGCTGATTTGCTTGCCATCCAGGATGGCGCCGCAAACCAAGCCACCGCTGCCGCCAGCAGTGCAGAAGAGTCGGACACCCAAGTGCCAGCTTCTCTCCAGGACTGCTGGGCATCATGTGTCATAACTCTTTGACACAGGATTAGCACACAATGCCTTTCGTTTTGTTTGGAATGAACGCAGGGTCTTGGGTCAGGACCAAGAAGACTTTGTGAAGATTGCCTTGGCCAGATATTGCTTGGAAGTGGGCCAGTTCTACAAAACGAAAAGTGAGGACAAATTGTGGAAGTTCACCCAGATGGATGCCACCAAGGCCTACTTCACCCACAAGCCTTTCTTTCCCAAACACCAGGAAGAAATTTTGGAAG